CCCAGAATTAGCATGGTGACCATCAGAACCCGAGTTCTCTGTCTCGGGAGCATCGTTTATCCAATGAGGAAAAAGTATGGGGGCCTTCTTTTTTTTCATATCTCATAAGTTCAAAGTCTAAAGTAAATGATATTTTAGGGATTTCATATTTATATTATTGCTCAGATATTCAACTATTTTTCTTACTGTAACTTGGTGATCTTTCAAAACAAATTGCTCAACTAAAGACACATCTTTTTACTGACTTGCTTTCGCTGGGCAACAGAACAAACATCATTTTTAACCATCTCCCTGCCTTCACTAAAACATTCAATCCAATTAATGAGTGAACTTCTGGTAAGTCTTTTGTCTTCATAAACCTTGTACAAATTATCATGTTCTACTGCAAAGGAATTTCAGAGATATATGTTAAACTTTACAGCTGTTCATTCTCGAGTACGACTGAGTCAACCATTTTTTGTCACAAGTGACCTATAGCTACAGACTGACGTCATTTTTACATTGTGACATCACAAACATGGAGCAAAACATTTTTTAACATCTGCTATTTATGGAACATGTGTATGACTATATGTGTGCCAAATTTCATTCTGATCTGAATTGTGGTTCTTTAAATATAGAGATAGTTCGCAAACTTTTTGATCACCCTTTGTCCACGTTGAAATACATTTTAAAGATTTTTTTAAACTCAATTTTAAGACAATCCACCTACATATATATTAATTGGAATTGCATTAAAAAAATATTATACAACTTTTCTTTTTATCATGTTTCAAATGCACTTCTGTGAATTAATTTATTTTAGCTGATCCATTGAATGTCTCACTGTATTTTTGCCATAACTTTGCCAGAGCTAGTTCAAAATCCTCAAATCTTGTAATTTGCTGAATACCAAAAAATAAAAGATTCTGAAAAGTTTATGAGGGATGTGATATAAGTCCTATAAGTTTTACTGTGGTGACACTAATATGATATTTGATAACTGAGAGAAGACTACAGATTTGTATGCTTGATTTGCATTAATGTTAGAAACTGCGAGCTGTTATTACTAGAAATGCACCCCCTGCCCCATATATCTAAGAGAAAGTTCAATTTAAAATAGTTCATTGATACATTAACAATACCAGTTTTGTGTTTTGTATACATAAGTTTTTCAAATAACTTTTTTTTCCTAACAAATTAAGGTCATAGAAAAAAAAAATCCATCCTTAATTAAAAATAAAATTTTTATTGCATTTTAAGCTCACCTCAACGAAGTTGAGATGAGCTTATGCTATACCCCTGGCATCGGTGTTGGCGTCAGCATTAGCATCTTGGTTAAAGTTTTAAAAGCAAGTCCATTCCCAAGTAACTATAAGCTTTACCTGGACCAAACTTGCATGGATGATGCTTCTAGGGATGGACACTACCACACTTGCTTCGGATGCTTGATCTGACCTACATTTTCCAGTTGAGTGACCAGGTTAAAGTTTTTGGAGCAGGTCCATTCCCAAGTAACTATAAGCCCTACCTTGACCAAACTTACATGGATGATGCTTCTAGGGATGGACACTACCACACTTGCTTCAGATGCTGGATCTGACCTACATTTTCCAGTTGAGTGACCAGGTTAAAGTTTTAAAAGCAAGTCCATACCCAAGTAACTATAAGCTCTACCTGGACCAAACTTGCATGGATGATGTTTCTAGGGATGGACACTACCACACTTGCTTCGGATGCTTGATCTGACCTACATTTTCCAGTTGAGTGACCAGGTTAAAGTCCCAAGTAACTATAAGCCCTACCTTGACCAAACTTGCATGGATGATGCTTCTAGGGATGGACACTACCACACTTGCTTCGGATGCTGGATCTGACCTACATTTTCAAGTTGAGTAACCAGGTTAAAGTTTTTGGAGCAGGTCCATTCCCAAGTAACTATAAGCCCTACCTTGACCAAACTTGCATGGATGATGCATCTATGGATGGACACTACCACACTTGCTTCAGGTGCTAGACCTGACCTAGATTTTCCAGATGAGTGACCAGGTTAATGTTTTTGGAGCAGGTCCATACCCAAGTAACTATTAGCCCTACCTGGACCAAACTTGCATGGATGATGCATCTAGGGATGGACACTATCACACTTGCTTCAGATGCTGGATCTGACCTAGATTTTCCAGATGAGTAACCAGGTCAAAGTTTTTTGGAGCAGGTCCATTCCCAAGTAACTATAAGCCCTACCTTGACCAAACTTGCATGGATGATGCATCTATGGATGGACACTACCACACTTGCTACAGATGCTGGGTCTGACCTAGATTTTCCGGATGAGTGACCAGGTTAAAGTTTTTGGAGGAGATCCATTCCCGAGTAAATATTAGCCCTACCTTGAACAAACTTGCATGGATGATGCATCTAGGGATGGACACTACCACACTTGCTTTGGCTGCTGGATCTGACTTAGATTTTTCAGATGAGTGATTAGGTTAAGGTATTTGGAGTAGGTCCATTCCCAAGTAACTTTAAGCTCTACCTGGACCAAACTTGCAATGATGATGCATCAAGGGATGGACACTACCACACTTGCTTCAATGCTTGATCTGACCTAGATTTTCCAGATGAGTGACCAGGTTAAAGGTTTTGGAGCAGATCCATTCCCAAGAAAGTATAAGCCCTACCTTGACCAAACTTGCATGGATGATGCATCTTGGGATGTACACTAACCAACCTGCTGGTTCGACCTAGATCTTCCACATGAGTGAATTTTTGCCATATTTTAACCAAATTAGCATGGATGATGTAGCTAGGGACGGTCACTTTCAAATTTGCTTTGGATTCTGAATCTGACCCGCATTTTCCAGATGAGTGTCCAGGATACTTTTTTTGGAGTAACTATATAACATTATGGACTGTTATGATTAAACTTGCATAGATGGTGCATCTGAAGATGAAAACTTCCAGACTTATTTTGGATGTTGGAACTGACCAAAATTTTCTTGATTAGTAAACAGGATAAACGTTTTTTGAACAGGTCTGTTTCCTAGTAACTATAAGTTGTACTTAAACCAAACTTGCATGGATATTGATCTTGGGATGTACACAAACTAAAAAAAGAATATGATGTGAAATTTGTCTTCCTTAAAGATAACATCCGTCGAGGTGAGCTTCGTAATCTTTGATTACCTATGTTTTCATTTTATTTTTATTTTTCTGACCGACTGCTTAAACTTCAAGCTTTTATTTTTATTTTTATTTCGACCACCCGACTCAAATTTTTGAGAAAAAAATTCCGTAAATCAGAAAATAGAAAAATTTTGGCCTCATATTCATATGGAAGCATCCTCAGGTAGTGTAGAGTGAAGTTTGTTCATATCATGACCACCTTCCCCCCCCCCCCCCCCCCCAGAAAGGGTGGCAGTCATCTTTAAAATTCCGTTTACAAGAACAGCAAAGCCATGATTAGTTAACTGAATATAGAAGCATCCTCAAAAAGTTTAGTTTCAATTTCATTCAAAACATGGCACCTGGGGGTAGGGTATACCTAGAACAGCTGATCAAAGCTTTACATATGAATAGAAATCTGCTGATGAAGAACAGCAGGGCCATATTGACTCAGGTGAGCATTGTGGCCCATGGGCCTCTTGTATAATTTTTCTGGCATTTGTGTTTAAAATGATTTTGATGCATATTTTGGACACTTTAATGCCTATGATCATTAAACTTTGTCAGTTGATGCATCGTAGGTCCTCAAAGTACTTTAACTGAAAAGTAGGTCACTATGGCCTACTATTTTGAATTTTATGGCTAATCTTGTTGAAAACATTTAAGGGTCATCATTGCAAATACTTAAAACTTTAGAATCATCAAATCTTGTAAATTGATTCATCTAAGGAACTTAAAACATATTTATCAAAAAGTAGGTCACGATGACCTACTTCTTGAATTTTGCAGGCATTCCTTTTCAAATTGTTTTAGAGGCATATTTTGGACACTATCAGTCCTATGATCATCAAACTTTGTCAGTCGATGCATCTTGGTTCCTCAAAGAGTTTAAACTAAAAAGTAGATCACCATGACCTACTTTTAAAATTTTATGGCTATATTTAAGGTTACCATTATCTACTTTTGAAATTTTATTGCTACATTTAAATATTTTCTGGTTCTAATTGGCTTAGAATCATTAATTTTTGTCAGGTGATGCATCCTGGGTCCTCAGAGAATGTCAACTAGAAAGAAGGTCACTGTGACCTACTTTGGAAATTTCATGGCTATATTTAAATATTTCAGGTACTTTTTGGCTTAGAATCATCAAATTTTGTCAATAGATGCATCTTAGATCTTCGGAAAACCACAAGTAAAAAGTAGGTCACCAAGACCTACTTTTGAAATTTTAAGTCTATATTTAAATATCTCAGGTACTTATCGGATTAGAATCATCAAACTTAGTCAATTAATGCATCTTGGGTCCTCGGAGAATGTCAACCAAAAGTAGGTCACTGTGACCTACTTTTGAAATTTTATGGTTATATTTAAATACCTCAAGTCCTAATTGGCTAAGAATCATCAAACTTTGTCAGTTGATGCATCTTGGTTCTTCAGAGAAGGTCAACTAAAAAGGTCACTGTGACCTACTTATGAAATTTTATGGCTATATTCAAATATTTCAGGTCCTAATTCACTAAGAATCATCAAATGAAATCTCATGGCTATATCTGAATAATTAAGATAATAAGGGGCTTTGATTCATCACACTTTGTCAGTTGATTCATCCTGGGTTCTCGGAGTGTTTGAACCAAAATGTAGGTCATGATTTACTTTTGGAATTTCAAGGCTTTATCTAAATATACAGGATATTTAAAGGCTTTAAAAAGAAGTGATAGGTTGTACAATTTATCACAAGAGTGATTCAAGGCCCTTGGGCCTCTTGTTTTCTTAATGAACGCTATGGAACTGGAGGTTCTGTATAGTTTGAGATTTAATATTCTGACCCCTTTCTGACACTTTTTTTTCCCTTCTAGGTGCGGAAGTCCATCAGGCAGCAGAGGGTGGGGGCTGGAGATGCTCTCCAACAGCCTGAGGAGATGGCACTGCCACCTCTCCAGCCTGTGCTTGATCTTCCTGAGGAGGAGCTAGAACAAACTGAAGAGATGGCACTGCCATCTACTCAGTCTGTGATAGCTAATCCTTTGGAAGACCTTGAACAGCCTGAGGAGATTGCAGTGCCAGCTCTCAAGCCTGTGTTTGATCTTCCTGAGATGAAGCTTGAACAAACTGAAGGGATGGCAGTGCTATCCACTCAGTCTGTGATAGCTCCTTCTCAGAGAGATCATGCTTTTGCACATGCTTGGGAGATGGCATTGCCATCTTCTCAGTCTCTTGGAGGTCATCCTTCCTGGCTTCCATCTCGATGCTTGCCTTCCCTGGAAGTGATTCCCCAGGATAAGCCACCACCAGTGGGAAAGTAGGAGATGGGAGGCATCATGATGATGGTGAGTGGTGTCCCTTTTCCCTCTATTCCTCCTTTCTAACATGTCTGTTCATTATTAACCTGTCTTGCTTCTTTCCCATTCTCTCTGCTCATTAACATGTGTTTATTATTAACCATTTCCTATCTGCTTACTAACATGTTCTACCTTTTTAACATATTTTCATTCACCCGTCTTCCCTCTCTGTAACTTATGAACCCTGTGTCTAAATATTTTTTCACACACCGGTATTTAGACGTAGGGTTCATGAGTTTAACATTTCATACTTCCTATTAACAGGTCTCTCATTTTCAGTTACCCCCCCCCCCCCCTCCATTATTAACCATTTCCTATCTGCTTACTAACATGTTCTACCTTTTTAACATATTTTTCATTCACCCGACTTCCTTCTCTGTAACTTATGAACCCTGTGTCTAAATATTTTTTCACACACCGGTATTTAGACGTAGGGTTCATGAGTTTAACATTTCATACTTCCTATTAACAGGTCTCTCATTTTCAGTTACCCCCCCCCCCTCCATTATTAACCATTTCCTATCTGCTTACTAACATGTTCTACCTTTTTAACATATTTTTCATTCACCTGTCTTCCTTCTCTGTAACTTAAGAACCCTGTGTCTAAATATTTTTTCACACACCGGTATTTAGACGTAGGGTTCATGAGTTTAACATTTCATACTTCCTATTAACAGGTCTCTCATTTTCAGTTAACCCCCCCCCCCCTCCATTATTAACCATTTCCTATCTGCTTACTAACATGTTCTACCTTTTTAACATATTTTTCATTCACCCGTCTTCCTTCTCTGTAACTTATGAACCCTGTGTCTAAATATTTTTTCACACACCGGTATTTAGACGTAGGGTTCATGAGTTTAACATTTCATACTTCCTATTAACAGGTCTCTCATTTTCAGTTAACCCTTAACCCCCCCCTCCATTATTAACTATTTCCTATCTGATTACTAACATGTTCTACCTTTTTAACATATTTTTCATTCACCCGTCTTCCTTCTCTGTAACTTATGAACCCTGTGTCTAAATATTTTTTCACACACCGGTATTTAGACGTAGGGATCATAAATTTAACATTTCATACTTCCTTATTAACAGGTCTATTCCTATTTTCCTCCCTCCCTTAGCATGTTTTTCTCATCAATATTCTGTCTTTATTTCCTATTTTCCTCCCTCCCTTAAAACATGTTTTTGTCAGTATTTACCTGCCTTGCTTATTTCCGATTTCCCTCCCTCTCTTCTGACATGTTTTCCTGATTATTAACCTCTCTTGTTTATTTCCCATTTCCCTCCCTCCCTTATATTTTTCCTCATTATTAACGTCTTGATTATTTCCCATTTTCCTTCTTCCCTTATAACATGTTTTTCCTCATTATTAACCTCTCTTGTTTATTTCCCATTTTCCTCCTTCCCTTATAGCACGTTTTCCTCATTATTTACCTGTCTTGTTTATTTCCTATTTTCCTCCTTCCCTTATAACGTTTTTCCTCATTATTAACTTCTCTTGTTTATGTCCCATTTTCCTTCCTCCCTTATAACATGTTTTTCCTCATTATTTACCTGTCTTGTTTATTTCCCATTTTCCTCCCTCCCTTATAACATGTTGTTCCTCAACAGTAATCTGCCTTGCTTATTTCCTATTTTCCTCCCTCCCCTCTAAAATGTTTTTCTCATAATTATTTCCCATTTTCCTTTATCCTCTTTAACATGTCTTCATTGTTAATGGTTTCCCCCCCCCCCCCCCCCCCCCTCACCTGTTCATTGATGTCCATGATGCATTTGATATTTTGGTTCTGAGTTTTTAGGGAGTTTTGTGTTTTTTGTTTGTCTGTCAAAGCAGTAACCTTTTGCATATTTTGCTTATTTTCTGTTATGACTTTTTTATAAATTCTAAATTCATTTTTATCATTTGGCTTGGTAGTAAATTAATACTTTGGTTTTTTTATATATCTGGTTTCAATATTAATTTTGCTACATTTTGCAAATGTTAGAATTTTGGCTTAATTTAGTAATTCTTTGATATAAATGATAATGCACTGGTGATAAAACATTGTTTATTCATTATTGAAATTTTCAGTATTCAAATTTTAACATGTTTATTTGCTCTATATTTTCAAAGTTTATTGTTTGAAAGTCTTATCTGCACACAAAACTCCGTCTGCCACAAGATATGCCTCGCCTCAGTGCCTCAGTCCAAAGTAGAGTCTGAAGTAAGTGGTTTCTTGTCGTCTGGTCATTGTCAGTATTTATGCATGAGTGGTGGTGGGTTTCTTTGAGCTCACCTCAACAAAGTTTTGGAGCGTTTACATGTGTTAAATATGTGACTTATGCTATACTTGAGACATCCACATCAGCGTATAGAATTAAAGTTTTGGAGTGGAGCGTTTATATGTGTTAAGTATGTGACTAATGTAATACTTGCGACATCGACATTAGCATATCGCGTATAAGTTTTGGTGCGGAACATTTATATGTGTTATGTTTTCTACGTAGTGTGATCATTGGGAGTTGCATGGATGATCCATGCAATTTGTTCCATTTCCTTTTTTTACGTGACTGCATTACTTAACTATAACTTTTGTTGAGGTGAGCTATGTAATCTTTGATTACTTATGTTTTTTCATATGCAAAAAAAAAAAAACAAAAAAAAAAACAAAAAAACAAAAAAAAAAAACAAAAAAAAAAACAAAAAAACAAAAAAAAAAAAAACAAAAAAAAAAAAACAAAAACAACAAGAAAACAAAAAAAAACATCAAAGGTGTATATGAATAATTCCTGTTTTTGCAAATGTGATCCAAGAAGAAGCAAGGTATTGCAGTATCTTTGTCTTAAACCCTGAAAATGATGTGTCCCAGGTGCAAGAAAAGGTGTTAAGTGGACTTAAAGGATCTTATAAAAAGGGACAGGTTAGATTCAGGAGATATTCCTAGTATGGAGGCAGTAATTCGAGTCTGTAAATTACTGTACTGAGAAAGTATTTAGAGTCTGTAGAATTAAATACCGAGACAGTATTTAGATTCAGGAGAGTTTCCTAGTATGGAGGCAGTATTTAGAGCCTGTAGAATTAAATATTGAGACAGTATTTAGATTCAGGAAAGTTTGCCAGTATGGAGACAGTATTTAGGGTCTGTAGAAGTAGATATTGAGACAGTATTTAGATTCTGAAGAATTTCTTAGTATGGAGACAGTATTTAGAGTCTGTAGAATTAAATATCAAGACAGTATTAAGATTCAGGAGAGTTTCCCTGCATGGAGACAGTATTTAGAGTCTGTAGAATTAAATATCGAGACAGTATTTAGATTCAGCAGAGTTTCCCAGTACGGAAAGAGTATTGAGAGCCTGTAGAATTAAATATCGAGACAGTATACAGATTCAGGAGAGTTTCCCAGTATGGAGACAGTATTAAGAGCCTGTAGAATTAAATATCGACACAGTAATTAGATTCATTGGAGTTTCCCAGTATGGAGACAGTATTTAAAGCCTGTAGAATTAAATATTGAGACAGTATTTAGATTCAGGAGAGTTTCCAGTATGGAGACAGTATTTCGAGCCTGTAGAATTAAATATCGAGACAGTATTTAGATTCAGGGGAGTTTCCAAGTATGGAGACAGTATTTAGAGTCTGTAGAATTAAATATTGAGAGAGTACTTAGATTCAGAAGAGTTTTCTAGTATGGAGACAGTATTTAGAGTCTGTAGAATTAAATATTGAGACAGTATTTAGATTCAAGAGAGTTTCCCAGTATGGAGACAGTATTTAGAGCCTGTAGAATTAAATGTCGAGACAGTATTTAGATTATGAAGCGTTTCCTAGTATGAACAGGGTATTTAGAGCCTGTAGAATTAAATATTGAGACAGTATTTAGAGTCAGAAGAGTTTCCCAGTATGGAGAAAGTATTTAGGGTCTCTAGAATTAGGTATTGAGACAGTATTTAGATTCCGGAGAAATTCCTAGGATGGAGACAGTATTTAGAGTCTGTAGAATTAAATATCAAGATAGTATTTAGAATCAGGATAGTTTCCCTGCATGTAAAAAGTATTTAGAGTCTGTAGAATTAAATATTGAGACAGTATTTAGATTCAGGAGAGTTTCCCAGTATGAAGAGAATATTGAGAGTCTGTACAATTAAATATGGAGACAGTACTTTGATTCTGGAGAATTTCCTAGTATGGAGACAGCATTTAGAGTCTGTAGAATTAAATATCAAGACAGTGTTTAGATTCAGGAGAGTTTCCCCAGTATGGAGACAGTATTTAGAGTCTGTAGAATTAAATATTGAGACATTAGTTAGATTCAGTAGAGTTTCCTAGCATGGAGACAGGATTTAGAGTCTGTAGAATTAAATATGGAGACAGTATTTAGATTCAGGAGAATTCCCCAGTATGGAGACAGTATTTAGAGTCTGTAGAATTAAATATCGAGACAGTATTTAGATTCAGGGCAGTTTCCGTTGATGATGACAGTATTTTGCGCGTGTAGAATTAAATATCGAGACAGTATTTAGATTCAGGAGAGTTTCCCAGTATGAAGAGAGTATTTAGGGTCTGTAAAATTAAATATGGAGACAGTATTTAGATTATGTAGACTTAAATATCGAGACAGTATTTAGATTCAGGAGACTTTCCCAGTATAGAGGAAGTATTTAGAGTCTATACAATTAAATATCAAGACAGTATTTAGATTCAGGAGCCTTTCCCAGTATGGAGACAGTATTTAGAGTCTGTAGAATTAAATATTGAGATAGTATTTTGATTCAGGAGAGATCCGTAGTATGGAGACAGTATTTAGAGTCTGTAGAATTAAATATCGAGACAGAATTTATATTTAGGAGAGTTTCCCAAATTGTAAGCGGTATTTAGAGTCTGTAGAATTAAACGTTGAGGCAGTATTTAGATTCAGGAGAGTTTTCCAGTATGGAGACAGTATTTAGAGCATGTAGAATTAAATATGAAGACAGTATTTAGATTCAGTAGAGTTTCCCAGTACGGAGACAGTATTTAGAGTGTGTAGAATTAAATATCGAGACAGTATTTAGATTCAGGAGTGTTTCCCAGTATGGAGACAGTATTTAGAGTCTGTAGAATTAGGTATCGAGACATTATTAAGATTCAGGGCAGTTTCCCTGTATGAAGACAATTTTTAGAGCATGTATAATTAAATATCAAAATAGTACTTAAATTCAGTAGAGTTTCCTAGTATGGAGACAGTATTTAGAGTCTGTGGAATAAAATATCTAGACAGTATTTAGATTCAGGAGAGTTTGACAGTATGGAGACAGTATTTATAGCCTGTAGAATTAAATATCGAGACAGTATTTAGATTCATTAGAGTTTCCCAATATGGAGACAGTATTTAGAGTCTGTAGAATTATATATCGAGACAGTATTTAGATTCAGGAGATATTCCCAGTATGAAGACAGTATTTAGAGCCTGTAGAATTAAATGTCGAGACAGTGTTTATATTTGGGTGAGTTTCCCAAATTGTAGACAGTATTTAGAGTCTGTAGAATTAAATATCGAGACAGTATTTAGAGTCAGGAGAGTTTAAAAGCATGGAGAAAGTATTTAGAGCCTTTAAAGTTAAATATCGAGACAGTATTTAGATTCAGGAGAATTTCCTAGTATAAACAGAGTATTTAGAGCTTGTAGAAATAAATATCGAGACAGTATTAGTATTCTTGAGAGTTTCCCAGTATGGAGACAGTATTTAGAGTCTGTAGAATTAAATATGGAGACAGTATTTAGATTCAGTAGCGTTTCCTAGTATAAACAGAGTATTTTGAGCCTGTAGAAATAAATATTTAGACAGTATTTGTATTCTGGAGAGTTTCCCAGTATGGAGACAGTATTAAGAGCCTGTAGAATTAAATATCGACACAGTATTTAGATTCATTGGAGTTTCCCAGTATGGAGACAGTATTTAAAGCCTGTAGAATTAAATATTGAGACAGTATTTAGATTCAGGAGAGTTTCCAGTATGGAGACAGTATTTCGAGCCTGTAGAATTAAATATTGAGAGAGTACTTAGATTCAGAAGAGTTTTCCAGTATGGAGACAGTATTTAGAGTCTGTAGAATTAAATATCGAGACAGTATTTAGATTCAGGGGAGTTTCCAAGTATGGAGAGAGTATTGAGAGTCTGTACAATTAAATATTGGGACAGTATATAGATTCAG